TTAAACGATCCCCAGACATTTTTATTTAAATTTTCGACAAAAACTAGTCAGACAACAATAATTTAATAAATTCAATTTTTTTTGGAGTGTCTCTGGTCATAGCCAATTTGATAACAGGTCTGATATGTGAAAAACTGACCAAAAAGTAGAAAATTGCAAATATCTCTAAAAGTAGTAATGGCAACCCTAACAATACTTACANCAATTATTTAAAGTTGCGCTGTTATTAAATACATTTGCAAAATAAATTTATTATTTCGAAATGTTCTTTTATTTCCAATAAATATCTTTAAAATCATAAACAATATGTGCGCAAATATATAGGATACCTGAAATTCTTTGTGTTAACGAGTCACTCGTTGAATTAAGTTAATGCTATTTGACAACCACCAGAACTAAAGGTATTCAATTCTTCTGATTCATTCGATATGCTAAATCAGTAGCTGATTTCAATTCATTCAAATATTTTCGGCACTTAAGAACTCACATCTCGTATGATATTTGCCGGGTAACCTTGCAAACATCGAGAAACGTTGATTGAAATATTTCAGTCAATGTGAGAACCAAAAGTAATTAAATTTTTTTTTTTAATAAATAGCATCTGAAGGAATTCGCCAAATTCGGATTTTTCCAAATATCTTCTCAGCCATGACGTTTTTTCAAAAAATAAAAGTAACATTTAATGAGGATCATAAAACTGCACATCTTCCCTTATGTAAGCTTTTTTGTATCTCTGTTACTTTCCCAGATCCCTACACTAAACATCGAAGATAATTCACCCTGTATAACTATTTTAGATTGCAGTTCATTCATTGAAAAAATTAATTTAACGCGTGGTAGATACATGTCATAAATAACAAACAAATTAAAATAATCATTAGTATAACTTAAACGATCCCCAGACATTTTTATTTAAATTTTCGACAAAAACTAGTCAGACAACAATAATTTAATAAATTCAATTTTTTTTGGAGTGTCTCTGGTCATAGCCAATTTGATAACAGGTCTGATATGTGAAAAACTGACCAAAAAGTAGAAAATTGCAAATATCTCTAAAAGTAGTAATGGCAACCCTAACAATACTTACATGGCTTGAAAGAAAATTTCAATCTGAATACGACAGATTAAAAATACAAGGTGTTCCATTTAAGTTAATAAAGTTGTAGCTGTTTGAAGTTATCAAAATGTAACAGCAAAAATGAACCACCTAGTATTAAATGTTTTAATTTGTTGTTATACCATAATTTAGTGTTACCTATGCCCTTTACAGGTACCAAAAATCCACATGATATCACTCTCCTGAAGAGAGTTGCTAGCATCTCCGCGGACCGCCGCGCCATTATTCTATGGCTAGAAATTGGCCTCAATGATTTGGGATCGAGGGGGATTATCCCTCTTTATCCTGCCTCATCTCGTGTAGGCCTGGACAGCCTTCGTAGGTGGGCCCCATNGCACTTAAGAACTCACATCTCGTATGATATTTGTCGGGTAACCTTGCAAACATCGAGAAACGTTGATTGAAATATTTCAGTCAATGTGAGAACCAAAAGTAATTTAAAATTAAAACAGTACACCCAAGATCCAGAAAAATAAAATTGTGTGTCATTTATTAAAAAAGTTTTTGAATGTGAACATTTGAAATTTTGCATAAATTTAATTTGATGTGATAATTTCCCTAACAATCCCTAATCATTTACTAGAACTTGTAAGGGCTGTAAGTGAAAAGTATATTGATGTGAGAATAAATCATAAAGTCAAAATATTTAATTCAGTAAAATCTACCAAAAGACAAATATTAAATAAACTAACTGTTTAAAGGACAATAGATATATTTAAATTATTTTGTACTTTTATTTAATATGAACAAGACATTAAAGTATATTATTTTAAGAATTCCAAACTGGAAACAGGAATATTTGTCGTAAGTGTAAAAAATATGTCTCAATCTGGATCTGTTCAAAATATTTGAAGACATTAACCGCGAATGCAGTTAAGAGCTCGCCCTCTGACGGTGACAAGTGATACTAGCGAAACAAGGTAAACGTTTCTTGTGTGCCTTGCAACTTAAAAATTATCGCGAAATCAACCCTAATATATGGTTAATGATCCGCTAACTCGTCGACTATGCACCAACACCAATGCAAAATAGCCAATCATCGCCATTTGTAAAGGGGTAGGTTCTAGGTAGGGGACGTAAACAAAAAAATTAGTACAGGAAATTTTTGTTTTGTCAGCAAATCGTAATCCGAGTAATTAAAGACTAATTCATGTTATTCCGAAAATAGAAGAGGAAGAAGAACACTGTAACTGTACCTATCCGATGTTTTAATTAAGGTTAAACAAAAGACAGAAGTCGTGGTTTTGTATTTACATTTCAAGGAAAATTGTTGTAATGGCTGGTGTTCAAGAAACTTCGTGTAGGCTTTGCCTTAAAACTGTAATCGATAAAGGCTTTGCCCTAATAGACGACGCTATTAGAGATATTCTAGATGTTCTTTTGCTTAGAGTGGTGAGTCGGTGAAAGATAGTTTTTATTTGAATTCGTACACCTCTAGACAATATCAAAACTTTCATATCGACTTAACAATAATACTTTATGGTATAATTTTTTTCTGTGTGGTTAAAGTTACATATATTTCAGATATTTGATGGTGAAGGCAAGGAGGTTATATGTCATGTTTGCAGAAGAAAATTATATGAGGCCTTAGAATTTAAGTCAACTTGTCTGAATACAGATCACGTTATTATTCCATATGTGGATTGTGAAAAAATGTTACAGCTCGATATAAAAGAAGTGTACACGAAGGAAATGGGAAGTGAGTCGGTGGATATTTCTGATAGTCAGAGAATATGTCGATTGTGTATGCACTTAGTGAAACGTGAATTTATCTGCATAGGTGAAGAAGAACTTGAAGCTATTGAGAAATTGGCTCCTCAAATGGTATGAAATATATTAAATACTTGCATTTATTGCAGTTTAGAAAAAATTTACTTTGCAGATTATAAACATCATCAAAGATCCCGTTATATGCAGGCCGTGTTTTGATTCCTTGTGTATGCACAACAGTTTCTTAAAAGAGTGTTTAGATGTAGAGAAAAAAGTTAAAGGCATTTTTGATAGTCCAACCACAGAGATTCCAATAGATACGTCACCATCTGACAAAGAGTTCGATATTAAGGATATGGAAATGTCAATAAAAACTGAATGTATCAACATAAAATCAGAAGATGAGGAAATGAGGTAAGGAAGTACTATTTTAACATTAATTTAAAAAATGGCACAGTGCCTGGTGCTGGTTCTGTCACGATATATGCAATTAAATGGGTGCATAAATATGTCATTAAATTTTTAAATCACAATATTAGCGTTTTACCAAAAAGGAATTGTAATAAATTATAGGCTATAAACGATATTGCAAAAATTATTGGATAGTCGTTAAGTTTGGTTAACAAATTGCTTGGAAAAAGTATATCTTGACAGAACAATCAGAATGACTTTCGATCATGGGTATGAGAAACGCTATACTAGATTTTACTAAACAAATTCATTAATATCTGAATAAGAACAAAAAAAATGTTCAATGCATATAAATAATAATACTTAATATCGCTTAAATTGAAGTCCTGATTTTCTTGGCTAGATGAATTATTCGTTAATATTTTGCTGTGAATCCGCACAGTTTGTATTTAGTTACAAAAATCACCTTAATTGTGAACTTCCATTTTCTTAATGAGAATTATTTCGCCTGTTCTCTGTGAACAACCCGGATGAGTTCCTCTAACCACCAAGATCTGATAAGCTTATCACACTCGATTCGTAATCTTTTCCTTTTTTTTTTAAAGCAAAGGGATCGCGGAAAACGTGAATCGTTATTATATAACTATTTTTCGTTTTCGGGAATCACTTGATCATAGCTCAAAGAAATTTTCATTGATAGAATTTTATGAGTCTCCACTGACAGTTTCAATTCCACAAAAAGACCGACACAGTCTCTAAATCATGATGTTTCTGTTTTTGTCCATGTAACGCTTGTTCGGTTTAAACAAAATCTGTTGTGCTCTTATTTTATTTTTTTTTCTCTTATCTTTTCTAGAATTTCTTATTATGAGTATTTTCTTAACCATCACTTATTTATTTCATCATAAAATAGAATGAATGTCATGTACAGTTCTGACACTTATAAATGCATTTGTCGTTACCTATAACCCTTTAATATTAAAGCCTCATATCGGAAAATATCCTGTATATGTAATTTTTTCAGCGACACTCCACTGCAGACCTCCAATAATGAGCCATCTGCGAAGAGTGATTGTAAAGATGCAGAAAAGTATGGGTGTAAACATGAGAATGGATCAGAAAACAAATGTAATACGCAAGCCAAACAGGAGCACAACGTGTTGCATAGATGTGATAAAAGTATTTACGAAACTGGAAGTGATATCCGTCCTATGGCACATTGTGGGAGACACAAGAAAGATTCAGAAGTGTACAAGTGCGAAACGTGCGAGTTTGAAACTGAAAATAAAAAACTGCTTCAACGGCACCAATTGGGACATAAAGATTCTTCGCCGGTTCAAATGTACAGATGTAACGACTGCGATTACGAAACTAAATACAAGAGTTACATCAAACGGCACCAATTGGTACATAAAGATTCTTCTCCGGTTCAAATGTACAGATGTAACGACTGTGATTACAAAACTAAATACAAGAATGCCATTACCATGCACCAAGTGAAACATAAAGATCCATCACAGGTTCAAATGTACAAGTGTAACAACTGTAGTTATGAAAGTAAATACAAGAACTCTGTCAAATGGCACCAACTGAAACATAAAGATCCTTCGCAGGTCCAAACATACAAGTGTAATGACTGCGATTTCCAGACCAAATACAAGCATTATATCACACAACACCAACTGAAACATAAAGATCCTTCACATGTGCAAATGTACAAGTGTAACGACTGTGATTTTGAAACAAAATATAGGAGCTATTTCAAAAAGCACCAACTGAAACATAAAGATTCTTCACAGGTGCAAATGTACAGGTGTAACGACTGCGATTTCAAAACTAGATACAGCAAGAATATGGAAGAACACCAACTGAAGCATAAAGATCCTTCACAGGTTCAAATGTACAAGTGTAATGACTGCGATTTCAAAACTAGATACAAGAATTCTATCAAACGGCACCAGCTGAAACATAAATGTCCTTCTGGGGTCCAAATGTATAAGTGTAAGGATTGCGATTACGAAACTGTCCACAAGAATCATATCAAACAGCACCTACTGAAACATAAAGATCCTTCACGGGTTCAAATGTACAGGTGTACTGATTGCAGTTACGAAACTAAATACAGAAAACATATCAAACGACACCAACTGAAACATAAAGATTCTTCACAGGTGCAAATGTACAGGTGTAACGACTGTGATTTCAAGACTAGATACAGCGAGAGCATGAAAGAACACCAACTGAAGCATAAAGATCCTTCACAAGTTCAAATGTATAAGTGTAACGATTGCAATTACAAAACTAGATACAAGAGTCATATTAAACAGCACCAACTGAAACATAAAGATCCTTCGCAAGTCCAAACATACAGGTGTAAAGACTGCGATTACAAAACTAAATACAAGGATAATCTGAAAAAACACCAACTGAAACACAAACATTCTCCCCAGGTTTAGATGAAACTAAATACAAGAAAAAAAATTATGCATTAGAAATTGGAGCCTGAATGGTAAAAAGCCTAACCTTAACAAAATTAGAACTTGAAACACAATAGGAATGTAGCATAACTAGCGCCCTATATGAAATATTAAAAAAAAATAGACTAGCATATTTGGGGTCCTCAAAAACCCAGGAATACCAAATTTCATACAAATATTTCACACCGTTTGCAAATTCATAAAAATTTTATTTTGTCGCTCTTTATCTCGAAAACATTGAGGAGATAGACATAGTTCATAATACAAGAAATTATAATTTTTTTAACGTACTATCACCCCCTGTATTTACGGAGATCTTTCTGAAACAGATTATGGTCAGGGTATTCCGGGGTTGGCTTTATAATTTTGTTCGCCCACTTAGTGCAAAAATAAACACGATATTATAAATTGTTAATAAAATAATGAATAAATTGCTGTAAAATGTTTTTGGTAAAAGTCCCAAATTTATATTTTCGAGAAAGCTTTTTGATATATTGAATATAAATACATATAATTTCGGTTTTAAAGCTCCAACATCACAAAACAAGGTTACATATTTTCATTCCTATACGAAGGAAAAAATTATTAAACATAAAAACAGTTGATAATATTCATCTAATCGATACAGGCAGAAAAACTAGTGATGTGCAGAATAGAATACTTTTAAGAATCGAATGATTATCTGAGAACTAAGTACCGGATGGAAGACTAGAAATTGGATGATGAACATTATGATGAATAGGGGCGGAGAGGTCTAGATTTAGAGTTTTACATACATATAAACTTTTGTGTACAATTATTTAAAGTTGCTGTTATTAAATACATTTGCAAAATAAATTTATTGTTTCAATATGTTCTTTTGTTTCCAATAAATATTTTTATAATCATAAACAATATATGCGTAAATATGTAGGATACCTGAAATTCTTTCTGTTTACAAGTCACGCGTTGGATTAAGTGAATGCCATATGACAACCACCGGAACTAAAGGTATTCAATTCTTCCGATTCATTCCATATGCTAAATCAGTAGTTGATTTCAATTCATTCAAATATTTTCTGCACTCAAGAACTCGCATCTCATATGATATTTGCCGGGTAACCTTGCAGACATCGAGAAACGTTGATTGAAATATTTCAGTCAATGTGAGAACCAAAAGTAATTAAAATTTTTTAATAACGAAAACTGTACACCCAAGTTCCAGAAAAATAAAATTGTGTATCATTTATTAAAAAAGTTTTTGAATGTCAACATATTTGAAATTTTGCATAAATTTAATTTGATGTAATAATTTCCCTAAAAATCCCTAATCATTTAATAGAACTTGTAAGGGCTGTAAGTGAAAAGTATATTGATGTGAAAATAAGTCATGAAGATAAAATATTTAATTCAGTGGAATCTACCAAACGACAAATATCAAATAAACTAACATTTTTAAAGGACAAGACATTAAAGTATATTATTTTAAGAATTCCAAACTGGAAATATGGTATTTGTCGTAAGTGTACAAAATAAGTCAATCCGGATCTATTCAAAGTATTTGAAGACAGATTAACCGCGAATGCAGAATGCAAGAGCTAGCCCTCTGGCGGTGACAAGTGATACTAGGCACTTGCGAAATAAGGTAAACAAGAAATGTTCTTGTGTGCCAGACATTTCGTTTTGTATTTTATTTAAAACTGTGTTTAATGTTTGCTTTTTGAACATTGTTATTTTAAGAAAATAGTGTGAGGAAAACTTCAGCAGTGATGGATAAAAAGAAATTGTCGAACTATTATAGTTCAGTTCATGGTTATTCTTGATGCTCCAAGAAAAATAAGTTTTCATCAAACCATTGAAGAAATTTTCAAAATATTATTGTCGACAGACCTCCCTGAATTTCAAGAGTTGTTAGTAAGAGCACTAGTTTGCAGACGAAATGAATAAATTTCTAAATTTGAATCACTTTGCCCAATTTTCCCACATAGTACCACATGATCAGCGTTAAAATTGCCTCTCCTTCTGATATACAACGAGAGTTTTCGTTGGCATTTAAATAGGAAATGTAGGTATTCCACAACGGACAACTTCATAGTTATAACCTCCAAAAATGTACATTAAATTGTATTGCTAGAAACAAACAAGATTGACATAAATACTTGCATTAAAATTTATTTATGAAATATTTGAAACCATAAAATAACACAAAAATGCGCAGCTTAATAACAAAATTACTAATAATAATGGGAAATACAACGAATGTTGTTCAAATGAATGTGTAAACACGAACGCCAAAGTCAAAATTAACTTGTCTTGGAGCTTACCGCTCTCGCCGCTTGGTGCGCTTTCCGCTTGTAACTTAAAAATTATTGCGAAATCAACCTTAATGTATGGTTAATGGTCGGCTGACCTATCAAGTCTACTCCAATGCAAAATAGTCAGTCTTCGCTATTTGTAAAGGAGGAAGTTGTGGGTAGGGGACGTAAACAAAAAATTATAACAGGAAATTTTAGATTTGTCAGCAAATCGTAATCCGAGTAATTAAAGTCTAAATTTTATTATTCATGTTATTCCGAAAATAGAAGAGGAAGAAGAACAGTAACTGTCCCTATCCGATGTTTTAATTAATAAGGTTAAATGTAAACAACAAACAGAGTCGTGGTTTTTTTTGTTGTAATGGCTGGTGTTAAAGAAACTTCGTGTAGGATTTGCCTTAAAACTGTAATCGATAAAGGCTTTGCGTTAATAGACAACGTTATTAGAGATATTCTAGATGTTCTTTTGCTGAGAGTGGTAAGTCAGTGAAAGATATTAGTTTTTATTTGAATTCGTATACCTCTTAACAATATCAAAACTTTTATACCGACTTGACAGTAATCGTTACTTTATGGTATAGTTTCTTTCTGTTTGGTTAAAGTTGCATATATTTCAGAAATTTGATGGTGAAGGCAAGGAGGTTATATGTCATGTTTGCAGAAGAAAATTATATGGGGCCTTAGAATTTAAGTCAACTTGTCTGAATACAGATCACGTCATTATTCCATATGTGGATTGTGAAAAAATGTTACAGCTCGATATAAAAGAAGTGTACACGAAGGAAATGGGAAGTGAGTCGGTGGATATTTCTGATAGTCAGAGAATATGTCGATTGTGTATGCACTTAGTGAAACGTGAATTTATCTGCATAGGTGAAGAAGAACTTGAAGCTATTGAGAAATTGGCTCCTCAAATGGTATGAAATATATTAAATACTTGCATTTACTGCAATTTAGAAAAAATTTACTTTGCAGAATATAAACATCATCAAAGATCCCGTCATATGCAGGCCGTGTTTTGATTCCTTGTGTATGCACAACAGTTTCTTAAAAGAGTGTTTAGATGTAGAGAAAAAAATTAAAGACATTTTTGATAGTCCAACCACAGAGATTCCAATAGATACGTCACCATCTGACAAAGAGTTCGATATTAACGATATGGAAATGTCAATAAAAACTGAATGTATCAACATAAAATCAGAAGATGAGGAAACGAGGTAAGGAAGGACTATTTTAACATTAATTTAAAAAATGGCACAGTGCCTGGTGCTGGTTCTGTCACGATCTGTACAATTAAATGTGTGCATAAATATGTCATTAAATTTTTCATTCATAATATTAGCGTTTTACCAAAAAGGAATTGTAATAAATTATAGGCTATAAACAATATTGCAAAAATTTTTGGATAGTCTTTAAGTTTGGTTAACAAATTGCTTGGAAAAAGTATATCTTGACAGAACAGTCAGAATGACTTTCGATCGCATGTGGGTATGAGAAAATCTGTACTAGATTTTACTAAAAAACTCATTAATATCTGAATAAGAACAAAAAAAATTTTTAAAGCATATAAATAATAATACTTAATATCGCTTAAATTGAAGTCCTGATTTTCTTGGCTAGATGGATTATTCGTTAATATTTTGCTGCGAATCCGTACGGTTTGTATTTAGTTATAAAAATCACCTTATTTGTGAACTTACCATTTTCTTAATGAGAATTGTTTCGTCTGTCCCCAGTGAACAAGCCGGATGAGTTCCTCTAACCACCAAGATCTGATAAGCTTATCACACTCGATTCGTAATCTTTTCCTTTTTTTTTTAAAGCAAAGGGATCGCGGAAAACGTGAATCGTTATTATATAACTATTTTTCGTTTTCGGGAATCACTTGATCATAGCTCAAAGAAATTTTCATTGATAGAATTTTATGAGTCTCCACTGACAGTTTCAATTCCACATAAGGACCGACACAGTCTCTAAATCATGATGTTTCTGTTTTTGTCCATGTAACACTTGATCGGTTTAAACAAAATCTGTTGTGCTCTTATTTTATTTTTTTTTCTCTTATCTTTTCTAGAATTTCTTATTATGAGCATTTTCTTAATCATCACTTATTTATTTCATCATAAAATTGAATTAATGTCATGTACAGTTCTGACACTTATAAATGCATTTGTCATTACCTATAACCCTTTAATATTAAAGCCTCGTATCGGAAAATATCCTGTATATGTAATTTTTTCAGCGACACTCCACTGCAGACCACCATTAATGAGCCATCTGAGAAGAGTGATTGTAAAGATGCAGAAAAGTATGGGTGTAAACATGAGAATGGATCAGCAAACAAATGTAATACGCAAGCCAAACAGGAACGCAACGTATTGTATAGATGTGATAAAAGTATTTACGAAACTGGAAGTGAAATGCGTTCTATGGCACATTGTGGGAGACACAAGAAACATTCGGAAGTGTACAAGTGCGAAACGTGCGAGTTTGAAACTGAAAATAAAAAACTGCTTCAAAGGCACCAATTGCGGCATAAAGATCCCTCGCAGGTCCAGAAGTACAAGTACAACGACTGCGATTTCGAAACTAAATACAGCAAACATATCAAACAACACCAACTGAAACATAAAGATCCTTCACAGTTTCAAATGTACAAGTGTAACGATTGCGATTACGAAACTGTCCACAAGAATCATATCAAGCAGCACCTACTGAAACATAAAGATCCTTCACGGGTTCAAATGTACAAGTGTAATGACTGCAATTTCGAAACTAGATACAGCAAATATATCAAACAACACCAACTGAAACATAAAGATCCTTCACAGGTGCAAGTGTACAGGTGTAACGACTGCGGTTTTGAAACTAGATACAGCAAGAATATGAAAGAACACCGACTGAAGCATAAAGATTCTTCACAGGTTCAAATGTACAAGT